CATTAGAATGTGTGGATTGACACATCTACTAGTTGGTTGTGGTCGTGCAAGTCTCTCCAGAATTTTATTCTATGTAATTGTCATGATTTGTCATATTTTCCAGAAGATTTAGGAGGTTTTATCACTGGCTTGACGAAGTTGTGGATTGGTGGCTTCTCCGAGGAGCTAGAGGAATTCCCCAATTTCAGTTTTATCCAATATTGTTGTGCTTCCCTTGAAAATCTGAGATTAATTGGGTGGGATAAACTCAAATCTTTGCCACATCAACTTCAACATCTCACTTCCCTTAAGAAGTTAGAAATATTGAATTTCCATGGAGTGGAAGCCTTGCCTGAATGGCTGCAGAATCTCTCATCTCTTCACACCTTATATATTAAGGATTGCAAGAATCTCAAGTATCTACCTTCAGAAGAAGCCATGAAATGCCTCATCAACTTACAGAAGCTGGAGATTCTTGAGTGTCCACTATTAGGAAAAAGATGAACCAAGCATGGCCCTGAGTGGTCCAAGATTTCACATCTCCCAATGAGTGGGTAATATCCTAACTTGCTACTGTTATTATTATGATTTCATAATTTTGCAAAGGTTTCCTGTCTCCCGATGAGTTGACTAATCCCCCGGGTGAGATATTAGTTTTTTAACGGGAACAATAACCTAAAAATGTTGAAACCAAGCACATCTCAGTTTGTAGGTATTACAATTTCCAAACTAAAAGGCAGCCTACTAGGTTGACAAGATATAGATTCCAACTATGTCGACATCGCTGTTTCCATTAAACATCCCAATCAGTTTCCTCAATGCCTCCTAAGCCTGACTTCTTAACGAAGTTTGGTTGTCTGTCTTATTTATCATCAAGATCCCATTGTTTATGCAAGTAAATATGTTTGAATCCGGAAGCAATTGAATCCTTCTTTTTTTCTCAAGTCTATTTATTATGGTGTGTGGTGGGTGGATGTGCACATATTCAAACTAGTATACCTTGTTTCTATTTGACTCATTTTTCTGGTTGTGAAGTATAATGGAATAGGAATGTACATGCATCACACTTCATTTTTTGTATATCGTAAACCCTTGCTCGTTCCAGAGAATGACTTCTTTTTTTCTCCAGATTCATCCTTCACTTGCTATCAGCTTTCTGGAACACAAATTGAAATAGCCACTTCATTTGGTCATTCGGGAAAGTCCACCATCTATCACTCTGAAGGAATCACCATCTATCACCCGTGATGCAATGCTGCAGTTAATTCAGTTGATTCAGGAGCAAATGTAGCTAGCTTTAAGTGAGGGCAGAGATCCTACAGGCACTGCAACTCCCTCTAGAGCCAATGCAAGTTATCTCAATCTTCTTCCAGTGCATTGTATTGCCTCAAAAGATCTGGTAATTTGAGATTCAGTATATACCAAAACATAACTTCAGTTGAATTGTGAACATGAGTTTACACTTGCCTTTTGATTTTTGTGTTTTTGGGTTTTTTTTTTCCTTGATATAGTGCTTAGTTAGTACTATATTTAGTTACGGCTACGAAAAGATAAAATTTTACTAATTTTACGAGCCCAATAAAGTATTATTTTACATTATATTTCCAAAAAATTAATTTTTCGGTTTGTTTAATAAATCAAAGCATTTATTTTTTAGATATATCTGAAGATACAAAATATCATATCTATTTTAAATCCATTGAATTTAATAAAATTTGAGATATTAGGGGGAGAAAAGTTTACATTCTTCTTTTTACCATATGTGATTCTTAAAAGTAAAACCCAACAAAAATATCATATAAAGTTTTATACAAATTAGTAATTTGATCTTAAAGTTTGAACCTTTGTTAAAATTTAATCTTTAATGTTTTTTTTATTATCATTTAGTTTTTTGACATTTTTTATTTATTTTAAAAATTATCTTAAAAAATAATTTAAAAAAAAATCTTAATATTTGAAATAAATATAAAATATTAGAGACAAAATTGTAAGAATTAATTTAATTAAAAAAAATTAATATAAAAATATTAATTTAAATAATATTAATATATAATTATTATGTTAAACAGAAGAAGAAAAAAAAAAAGACAGTGAAGACCAAAATTTAAAAAAGTTAAAAAAATAAAAAGCACCGAAATGAATTTGTTGCCAACCAGCTTTTACTACACACAGCATCTAACTATTGCTGTTCAACCCACGTAAGCCACGTCATCAGTGGGTCCCACGGGTCATATGAGGAAGAAGAGCGGGCCCATCGTGGGCTCCACCTGAAATTAAAAATTTTAAAAGAACAGAATTAGCGGACAAAACAAACCGACAACAGTCTCCTATCACAGCACTAAGAGCTTACTGAAATGTCCAAAATTACCCCTGTGGTTTCACGAATTCCCTAATCTACCCCCCACATTCAAAAGCTGCCAACTTCTAATCTGCGCCTCGTTGGATTTTTACTTTTTTAGAACTGGGTTTAAAGTTTTGCTGGGGGAAACCAGGACCGTATTCAATGGATTGAGTGAGGGTAAAATGGTCTTTTTAATATTCGAAACGGCTATTTTAGTTCCCCGATATAATAGCTTTCTATCTTGAAGAATCTTTACTTTTCGAAATTCGAATTTATCATGACAAAAATGCCCACGCTTTTTCACTCTTCACATTTTATGGATGTGTGTGGGAGTATTCAGTTTGCTCATTCCTTGTTTGCTCTCTCTATTTTTTACTCAGCAGATGTCAGATTTAGTATCTGAGCTCCCTTAATCACCTGGTAATCGAAGTGAATCAATACTCAGATTCGTGCTTTCTGCTTACCTTTCTTTTTTTTTTTTTTTTCAAAAAGTGTTACTGTTTGCATTTTTCTCGAACTTTTTTTTTCTTTTGCTTTTTGGTCTTTCTTTTTTGGTGTCCTGTCATTTTTGGTTGTTGTTGTCTGTTGTTTTTGATGCGTTGATGGAATTTCTCGGGAGCTGAGGTTTGATTTGCTTCGGAAACCTGCAATTTCGGTAGCTTAATTTTTGATTTCGATTTACATTGTGTGCGATTCTTAGCTTCTTTTAGTTGTTTTGTAGAAAATTGTTTTTGTTCGATTAGCTTCATTGTTATGTATTACTGTTTTGGCGATGGCTTGCTTTTGTGCGTGTTGCCGATATTATCTTCAACCTCGTGGTGTCTGTTTTCTTTTCTTGAAAGTGCTGCTGGATGTATAGTTAGATTTAATTGACTGCAAAGATTGATTTCCTGTGGAACTTTTTTTTTTTTTTTTTTTCTGTTTTTGGTTTGGGCTATTTAAGGAAGTGAGGTGCTTGGATTCTGAGATTCTTATTGGAATCTGAGGGGCAAGATGTCGGCCTCAAGAGGGGGCTCAAATCAGCAACAGCCGCCTCCACAGAGGCGGATTATGCGGACGCAGACTGCGGGGAATCTTGGAGAGTCTTTTGACAGTGAGATAGTACCATCTTCGCTGTCTGAAATTGCCCCCATTCTTCGTGTGGCAAATGAGGTTGAAAAAAACAACCCAAGAGTCGCATATCTTTGTAAGTACTGTTAAACTTTATGGGCTTTATACTTGTTCTGTAAATAACTGTGTTTATTCATCCGATGGATTCTTTGGGTTGCATTTTGTAGTGATCATTTTCAGTACTTGGTAGTGTGAAATGGAAGTAAAGATTCATGCCCATGTTATTTAACTTTGGTATGTATGTGTATTTACAAAATGGACGTAAATCCCATACCCGTACAAATTGTTTGTCATTCTACTTTCCTACTTTGCTTGTTTGTGGTATTGAGTTTGTGCTTGATGGGGTAGCTAAGTTTTGGAAAGTCTTTTATCTTTGTTCCAAAATTGCTTTTAATTCATATCTAGCTCCTGATACGCATGAGATTAGGAAAGAAATAATTATGATATTATTGCTCCTAAAAATATGAGAACTGCTAGAATCAACACTTACTGCTGTTTTAACTTTGCATAGATTAATGGAAATGTGATACCAAGTCACCATTTATATGTTATACAAAATACTTTCCCTAGTTTGTCACAAGATCTCAGTTGTTCAATAACTAATTGTATTAATTAATTGATTTCCTTGGTAGAAACTATAGCTGTACTTCTGTGGTCATGAAATGTTTTAGTGTTCATGCATCTGGCCTGATTAACAATCACATTTATTATCTTTTGTTTATTTGCATCTTCTAAAAATCATTTTAATTTGTGTTCTTAATCTAGTTTCTTTTTTTTTTTTTTTATTCTCTAAGATTATCCATTAGTTTACTGTTTGAATATCTGATAATCTGTCTACACTGGGCTTGGCCCTAGGTCGATTTTATGCCTTTGAGAAGGCTCACAGGTTAGATCCCACATCTAGTGGGAGAGGTGTCCGTCAATTCAAAACTGCTCTTCTTCAGCGCCTTGAAAGGGTGAGTTCTGTTAGTTTTCACTTGAAGAATTTCAGTATGTTCGCTTATTTGTTTTGATTAGTAGTTGCCCATTTTTTTGGGCAAAGAGTGAGAATAGCACTAACTTGAATTAATAGAATTCTTGTATCTTTGTTGTGAGACTACTTTCTAATATGCCTTTGTGCATCTAGAATTCTATGCTGAGCTTCTTGCCATTAAATTTTCGGGAATAAAAGGAAAAGAAGCACGTCTTAATTCCTCCTTGTGCAAAAAACAGCAGATAATTAAACTGTCCCCCAGAAGTAAATTATACTATGCAAATGTTGCTGCACTATTCTATTTAGTCAAGTTTGGATCTTTTAATATGCCAAATACTGAAGGTGTTGGATATGTGAGATGATTAGTGATGCACTGCCTGTTGAGGGATTTACGTTGTATGTCTCTTTTTATTGATAAAAGAAGAAATATTATTAGAAAGCTTAGAGAAGAAATAACACAAAGGGTGGATAAGAATCTCCAACACAAGGATGTGTTCCATACCTTTTTTTCTAATAAAAGAAGAAACGTTATTAGATGGTAGGAAAAAAATATAAACAGATGGGGGGATAAGCTATCATCCTCCAAAAGAAAATGAAACAAAGTAACAAAAGGAAAAAAGTAAACGCACTATTGATGTATGATAGCAACCCCAATTCCTTTGTAAAGTAGACAAAGAAATTCCTTAAAGAAACCATGAGCTCAGTGAAAAGAGAAACCAAAAGCACCATCCTTTCCCAAATGTCATCAAACAAATGAGACCATGAGCTTACCTAATTTTTGCATTTCTCTGCAACCAATGGATTCATAAACCAAACATAGCCCATCATCCTCCAAAAGAAAATGAAACAAAGTAACAGAAGGAAAAAAGTAAACGCACTATTGATGTATGATAGCAACCCAATTCCTTTGTAAAGTTGACAAAGAAATTCCTTAAAGAAACCATGAGCTCAGTGAAAAGAGAAGCCAAAAGCACCATCCTTTCCCAAATGTCATCAAACAAATGAGACCATGAGCTTACCTAATTTTTGCATTTCTCTGCAACCAATGGATTCATAAACCAAACATAGCCTCTCTGAAGCATTTTTTATCCTTCACCATGTTCTGTATTTTAGGTTCATAATAATTTTAATTTGATGCAGAATCTATGTTATAAATAAGGTCTGAGCTTGAGTTAGGTATGAACTTGGAGGTGTTATGTAGAGGGGTCCAATGCACGAACTTCCATGGGAGAGGGCAAGTGCATATTTTAGGTGTTGTATAATTTAGATTCATTTGATGCACAATCATTGTCAAAAATGGGATCTGACTGGGTTAGCTATGGTCATAATGTGTTTAAGGTGTTACCTTGTGTTTCAATAACAATTAATCTGTGTCGTAAATGGGGTTTGACAATGGGTTAAGTATGACCAACCTGTAATGCACATGGAGGTTTTATGTAGTGAAACATTTCTTTGTCCAGCACTTTTACAAGTTCTTTAGCGTCTAGACAATTGTTGGCATTGATTGCTGGGGCTTTCTTTTACAGGAGAATGATCCAACATTAATGGGAAGGGTTAAAAAAAGTGATGCTCGTGAAATGCAAAGTTTTTATCAGCATTATTACAAGAAATATATTCAAGCCTTGCAAAATGCTGCTGATAAAGCGGATCGGTTTGTATCTGTTGATAAATGTTCCTTTGGGTGATATTTGGCAGCATCCTGTATATCAGATTTTGTGCTTGCAATTACTAATATGATTGTTATATCCAATGGAATCTTGTTTTTTACAGTGCCCAACTGACAAAAGCGTACCAAACTGCTAATGTTCTCTTTGAGGTTTTGAAGGCTGTTAATCTGACACAATCTATTGAAGTTGATCGTGAGGTGAATGACATATCTTGATATATATTATTATACTTGTATAAGTCTGTTCCTTATTGGAATGTAACTCTATCACAAGAAGTGGTTTACTTTCAGAGTAAGAAGTTCACATCCTTCTTGATTATCAGTTGTTATTCCATTGTATAGATATAATTATTGTCAACTTCTCTACAGATTTTGGAAGCTCAA